GGGGGGGGGGGGGACATGCCAAATCTGTAAGGGTTCTCAGAGACAGAGATTCTAGACTAGATGGAGAATTAAACTTTTAAAGGTGAATGAAAGTAGTTTGGAATCTAAGTGGAACGAAGCAGAACTCGAGTCTTGCCAATAATTGTGGCCAGTGGAGACAGGAAGGTATGCTCTCTAAAGGCCAGGTGTTAAAGAAAGACCTAGATTCTGGAATAAGGAATAGATGTATTCCAGACCCAAGAGAGAATGGCTGGCCCAAATATTGAATTTTATGGAGAGGGGGAAATGAGGAACTGTTTTTCAATGTATAAGTTTTCTGTTAAGCAAATGAATACACTCTAGAGCTCTGCCATGTAACATGATCAACAATAAAGTACTGTACACTTTAATATTTGTGAAGAAGATAGATCTCACGTTCAATGTTCTCACCAACACACACACACACACGCAAACACAAGGAAATTTTGGGGGGTTTTGGAAATGTTTAGTACTTTGGTTGTGGTGATGGTATCATGGGTATATGCATATGCCCAGACTCATCAAGATGTGTAACATAAAAGTGTGGAATTGTTCTAGTACCAATAATACTAGAATAAAGCTAAAAAATCAAGAATTGAAAAAGTGTGAACAAATTTCAGGTGACCTCTGCCCCAAGCACAACATTTAAATAAATTATTATTGTGATCATTACAACTCTTGTGATCCAACAAATAGAAACACAAATGAATGGAATTAGTCAGTTTGCTCTTAAAAACATTATGACACTATTACATTAGGTTTACAAACAAGAGTGAATCACAAACTAAAGTGTTTTACCTCATAAAGAAGCACAATTTTTGAAAATGTCTCCAGACCCACAGAATCAAGAAATGCCCCAGCTGGAATAGGCATGTGACCCAGTGCTTCCTAGCCCAATGCACACTGTGGGCCAGGAAGCCATCTGGCCTCTTTATGGCAGATCTCAAAACCGAAGGAGAAAAGACTGGGATAAAGAGGGAGGCGTTTCACAGGGTTCAGCAACCCCGGGCACGCAGAGAAGGCTGTGGGAAGGGGTGGATTGGCCGCCAAACGGTGGTGGATCATCTCCCATCATAGACCAGAATAAAAGACCAACCTGCTAAAGATCTAAATAGAAAAAATTAAAACATTAAATCACTTAAAGAGAATTTAAATAAGTATGTGATTGATTTGTGTGGTGAAAGACTCACAGCGGGGGGAAAAATGGAAGTGCTGGATTGCACGGAATTTAAACTTCTCACTGAATGTTGCAGGGTTTAAGAGTCTTCATAGTTTGCAACTGCATATTTATTCATTTACTCATTTGATCGGTGCCTGCACCCCCGCTAGGCTATAAGTTAGCGGAGGGCTGAGATATCGCTGTTGTATTCCCATGCTTGGAAGAGTCTCTGCATATATTAGACTCTTTTTTTTTTCCCCTTCTACTAAAATTTATTTTCATTTATTCTACTTTTTTATTTTTAATTACAGATCACATACATTATTATATTGGTTTCAGGTATCCAACCCAGTGATTAGACATTACATAACTTACTTAGTGATTATCCCAATAATCTCACACCCATCTGATACCACGCATAGTCATTAGAATATTATTGACTATATTATCTATGCTGTACATTCCATCCCCGTGACTAATCTGTAACAAATAATTTGCACTTCTTAATCCCTTCACCTTTTCAACCCACCCCCTCAACCCCCCTACCATCAGCAACTGTCAAACCTTCTCTGTATCTATGAGTCTGGTTTTGTTCCGCTTGTTCATTTATTTTATATTTTAGATACAATTGAGAAAATCTTAAAAACAGCAAAAGAAAAGCAGTTACCTACAAGGTTGCTCCCATAAGACTGTCAGCTGATTTCTCAACAGGCTCTTAATGGTGTGCTTTTGAAGTGTTTCTGCTGCAGTCTTCTAACAGCTCATGAGCCCCTTTCAACAGAACAGTAAACTGAGCAAATAACTGAGGTTGACATTGGGGCTGATCTCAGGGGCTTGGGCAGGGGTTTAACCCCCATAAGCATAGAGAAGATAAGCCCTGAGTCGGTCCGGAACGGGGAGCCGGAAACCAGAGGCCCCCTCCGTCGTCACCTGAGCACTAGGACACCCTGGCCTTCAGTTCAAGGAAGCTTAGCTTCAGCCCTGGATTCCAGCTGAATCCCATTTGCCCACGAGGTGTAACTCGACTTAAAAGGGAGACAGTCCTGGGGAGCACAGTACTCAAAATTGCTATCTCTGAGGGCCTGAAATAGGGTGAGGTGAGGAAACCTCCACAAAGGGACTGAGGGGATAAAAAGCTCCGCAGGCACCTGCAGCCCTGTCCGCGGGTCACAGGGCTGGCCCAGGGCAGAGCGCGCAGGCTGCAGGCGGGGACTGTGCCGACGCGGCGTCGGGTTTGCTCTGCCGGTGCCTCTGGCCGTACTGACCCAGGAGCCGCCTTGTGTCTTTCAGAACGCCGAAGCGAGCTACGACTTCAGTAGCAACGACCCCTATCCTTACCCTCGGTACACAGATGACTGGTTTAACAGGTAAACTGGGCCTCCGGACGGGGCTTGCACTTCAGGTTGGGGGTTTCGTTCTGCTTTGTTTTGTTTTTAAGTCTTGAAAGTCACCAGCCAAAGAACCTCAGGGCTTCGCTGAATTGTATTGTGACTCCCCCTCTTCGCGGCTACGTTCCCTAAACTCTTGGATTTTTCTAATATTTCAATGCTCCTCTAGAATTGCCGGTGGACTATTTGTTCTGTTGAGCAAGGAATTATTTGCTGCCGTAGTAAAGGTAGAAGGGAACAGGAATAGTAAGAAAGCCTGTCCCAACCCACCACAAGGTGATCTAAAACAGGCCGACTTCACTGGGTCTCTGGAAATGACTGGGGAGAACCTTTCTTGCCCCACGGGTCTGTGTCTGTCTGTTTTGAAAAGCGTGTCCGTGTCCGCTGTAACCTCGTGAAGGCCATGCAGCCCACTTCAGCAGAACGGTAAGTGAAGCGAAGGGCTTTGAAGTGTCCCTCGGCGTCCCCTGGAAACGAGCCAACCTCCACCCGTTTCCTTCAGCCTGCTTGGCTCCTAAACGTGTAAATGCAGCCTCTCTTTTTCCCAAGGAACAGTCTTGCCTAAATGGTTGGTTGCATATAAAAAAACGGCAAGAAATAAAGATGTATGGCTCGCTCAACCAAAGAACACTATACTTTTTAAACCTAGAGCTGCCCCATTACTGATGTTCTTGGGTGGAGTTCGTGAGAACATATGAACTTCGATTAATGGTGTAAAAATATATTGTGTACAGCACCTTCTTCATTTCTTTTACTTCTTGTGATAAACAGCACATAAAACAAATGTTGTCATTCTCAGTTTAGTGTTAAGAAAATAGGTGTAGAAAGGGAAAGTGACTTCCCTGGTCAATTAGCATACGTCAAAGCCAGCACTCAACCCCAAATTTCACAAATGTCTCTAATTCCAACCTTTATAAGCATCATTTTATTAGGAAGACAGGAACCATGATGCCCAGGGAGTGGCCAGTAGCTTAGACTCTGTCCCTCCAATTAACAAGTTGACCGGAGAATGTCTAGGATGCAAACAGGGCACACAGGTTGGGGGGCTTGGCGATTCCAGGAAATGTGGGGGAAAATAAAGAAAAAAACACAATTCAAATTTGTAACATTTTTAAAAGATCATAGCTGATGTCCAATAGCACAATTCACTTTCTATCAACTTCACCAACAGCTTTGAAATTATCATGCAGTGTCTGGAAGTGTGTTGAGGGAATAAGGGTATATAAGAACATCTGAGCACTTTTGACATAAAATGTCTCTTACCCCCATGACTTATAACCCTAGACCCTAGCATGCTCTTAGCAAATAAACCATTTTCTGACCCAGGGATGCGATGTTACTAAGTAGATGCCACTAAGTCAGGGGTGAGCTGTGATTGGAAATGACCATCTGGAACACTCTACTGAGAAGGACCATGAGGGAGTGCTCGGCTTCAGCATGATTGGTTACCAGTTGTCTACTTGACCTCAGAAAGGACCGTAGCAACATGTGTGCTGGCTATTTGCCATCTCTCTGCAGCTAGTAGGTACCAAATGAACCTTTCATGGAATGATTCAGGCACAAAAATATAACCGACAGAACGGTTTTCTCCCTTACCCCATTTTCTAAACCCAGCACAACCTTCCCCAAAGCAACTCTTCCTGTGTGACATGCTGTAAGAGTATTCTATTTTTTAAAAAAAACAAACGACGATGATTTCTATCTTAAAATTTTTAATTTGCAAATGTGTTCTCGAAAGTACAATTTTAAACTAGCTAAAATCTTCTAGCTAGAACTAATTAGTGCTTAGTGCAATAAAATTTTTCATTGTCAGTGGTAGAAATTCTCAAGTGTCCAATTGCCTGAGACACAGTCATAGTGAGTCAGACAAGCATGATCCTTGCCTCTTAGGGAGTCAATGACTCAAGACACGGTGTCCACTGTGACCAATAAATGGGACTTTTCCCAATGATCAAGTCATCTTCAAAGATCCCCATCCATCACGACTTATTGCAAAGATTAGATGGTACCACAGTTCAAAGCGTGGCCTCTCAAAACAAAACTCCTGTAAATGATGGTGGGAGGACACTGGGTCAAAATCTAAGCCCACGGCTCTGGGGGCGGTCCATGGCCTGAAAGCTTGAGTCTGTCCTCAAGATGATTCCTGCTTGGTACAAGAATTAAACTAGATCATCTCCCCCGGGATGAAATATTTCACCTGGTGTTTTCTTCCATATAACTTAGGGTTTGGAGCAGAAGGGAGGAGAGTGACTGGGGGTACAGAGGAAATAGGGTTGGCCATGAGTTAATCATTGTTAAAGCCGGGTGATGGGTACATGAGTTCACCCTACTCTTGTATATGTTTGATATTATCCATAACAAGAAGTAAATTTTAAGAGCATAGGGCATAAAAAAGAGGCAAAAAACAGAACTGGAACTGTAGTTCAGTGCTCATTAAACTGTCAGTTTGGGCGTGCAGGCTGCTGAGGGACTTGCAATGTTATATGAGGAGGTGACAGATGCCCAACTCACGACAGGGCTAAGTGGAACCATAGCTTAAAAAAAAAGAAAGAAAGAAAACACAAGAAAAATTAATGCCTATTAAGCAGTCACTATGCTTAAGGCAGTGTTTTAAGTGTTTTGCATGTATTAATTCAATTAACTCATTATAATTCTCTGAAACAGATATTACCATTATTATCCCCATGTTGGTAACTGAGGCACAGAAAGGTTAAGTCAGTTGTGCAATATCACATATCTAATAAGTGGCAGAGACAGGATTTGACGCCAGTGTAATAAAGATGCTTTGGAGGGCACAGAGCACTGCAGAATCATCTCTGGCTGGGGCAGTTGGGACAGGCTTCGTTGAAGAGGTGGCATTTAGTCTCGGATTGTAATGAAGGTAATAGGTAGAGTTGGGGGGGGGTGTTCCGGAGTGAGGGTACAGTTTAGGTGAAGAAAGAGGAACCCGAGGTGCACACATGTGCACAAGGCGGCCTGGGTAACTGGGCTGGGGCTGAGAGACTGGTGCGCGGAGGAGCATTCTCAGAAGATGTCTCAGGAGAGTGAGCATGAGAGATTGGGACAGGTTGCTAGGAGAAAGAAGAGGGAGAGATTCTGTGGTTGGGTAGGGAACTGGGCCGGAAGCATAGACGAGAAATGTTCTCAAGGAATGTTGCTCCCCAAAGGCTGCGGAGCCTTGAGCCCAGCACGTGCCTTTGTCAGGGTTCACTACGGATCCAGCGTGAGTCCCTGGAGAGCTCTCCAGCCACAAAGGCACGCCGCGTCCTCTTCTGGGCGTGGCCATCGTATCTGATGTCTCATCTCTGCTCAGCAGACTCGGGGCTCTTGAGAAATGCTCATTTAAGCAAGACCCTGATCCAGGGCTCGCTGATGCTCACCGGCGATGGGCTTGCTGCTGTTGCCAGTCCAGTCACACCCTGGCCACAGAGGCCGGTTAGGACTCAGGAGCAGTCGCTGCCCAGGAAAAGCAGGGTTCTCATCGCTGTGAAAAGTAGAAAAGAGAATGCACTGTAAGGGGCTCTCTCGAGCAAGCAAATAAAATGTTTCCCTTGGTTGGGAAATCAAGTTCAAGGTCAGTGTGTCTCTCCTGAGCTTCCCTGATATTCTAAACCCTCATATTGTCCCCTCTGTATTTTGTTAACTTGTTTTCCCTCAAGTGTATATTTATTTAAGAACATATTTAAAACTCCAAACCAAGAACTCTATGAAAGCAAACTTCATATATATGCAGAACTGCTTTTAGTGGATATGTATATTAGAATTTCTTGCCCTGTGCTTAATTCGATTTTATAAGATTATTCCTTTTTAAGCAGAGCAAGTGAATTCATTCTACTGTGAGTCACTTAATAATTAAATGCAGTATCTGAGCTCTGGGGATATATTTGAAACAGTTGAGAAATTTGCAAAAGGAGTATCATTTCCTCCTAGTTTCCAATCAGAGAAATACAGATGGTCAACCAAAATAATAACAGTAATAATAACCCAAATTGTAAAAAGATAGAAAATAATATACATTTAATGAGCACCAACAATGTGAAAAACTTGTATAACTGATTTGCTGTGAGGTCTCAGGATCTAGTGTTCCATTTTTTTCCTTGCTGGCATTCAACAAATATTGATTGACTGGTCGACAGAGGGATGGCACACCTTCGCAGCTGTGCTGAGATGTCGAGTGGCCTTGACATCTGTCCAAGTTAGAGCTGCCTGCTTCTTCCAAGTTTTGCAGCCTTTGCTTTGTCAATAATCTTCCAGCATTGCTTGGTTTTAGGTCAATGTTCGATGATGCATTGCAGATCTATAATTCATTACTGTGCCACTGTCCATAAAAGTCCCTCTTGCATAACATTTCCTTGACAAGCATTCACCACTGAAATGTCATCCCTGCCATCGGCAATATTTAGGGAACATCACAGGGTGCAGCATGCTCTATCTCTTAAGCCCTAAAGAGTAAGAGATTCTGGATTAGATGCAGTTCCTGGCCGCAGAAACTTACTATAAATTCAGGAAGAGAGAAGACATTTATTACTAAAGCAACCAAAATGGGTGGAAAGAGGAAGGAAAAATGGATGGCCAGGGACATTTATCTTGATGTAAGTTCACCTGATTGATAGCATTAAACCTTCAAATAATAAAGATTTTTTCTGATTAACTTTTTTTCCTTATTAAAAATCATATTTCATTTTGAAGAACTCATGTGACAAGCCAAAGAAGAGCATGTGAGGAAAATAGCCCTCTCTGGTTGGCTATTTGCACACTGTTGGAAACGGATACTTTACCCTGGTGACACTTAATGGTTGCGAAATAGACAAACATCTTTCCCTTCTGCCTTTATAGACAATTCGGAAATCACCTCCTGGATAATAAAATTCAAACTGCTTTCGCAGGCCTAATAGAGCCTCTTCTTTCATGTGAGCTTTGAGAATACAGTAGCCCCCCTTATCCACAGGGGATACATCCCAAGACCCCCAATGGATGGA